TGGTGCCATGTCTACGCAGATGACACCCAACTCCACTACTCTTTTCCATCAGAATCCAAGGAAGCCCTGAGGATACTGGACCAGTGCCCAGGGGATGACCGAATGTGTTACCATCCTGTCAGAGGCTTCTCTCATGTCCTCGCATGGGAAGCTGGATCTGACAGATGGAAGCTCACCCCATCTCGTGGATTCAAGCCACCGACCTTCAGGTCAGCAGTTCAGCTGGAACAAGGGTTTAACCCACTGTGCCACCGGGGGCTCCATTTTAATACAATGGACACATAACCAAAGATGCAGTCCCACATTCTGCTTGTCACTTTTTTCAAAGCTTGGTGAAGAAAGTCTATGAAAACAAATCCAGGGACAGCATGTTCTGTGCAGAGTCATGATGTTCCACAAGAAAAGACAGTCGGGCTTTAGAACAGCTGGTAAATCACCAGCAATGATAAAATCTTCCAACCAGTTCAAAGTCCCAGATGGGCATGAACTCCCGACTGTCAGCTCAGCTTACTGTTGATCTAAGCAGTTTGAAAACAGATTGAGCTGTAAGTAGAATTGTGGGAGTTAAAGTCCAAAACATCTGGAGGGCCAAAGTTTGCCCATGCCTGCTGTAAGTAATCAAAGGCATGTTATAAATAAAGACAGAACCAGATTGCAGAGATCGAGAACAAGAAAAGGTCATATTTTGGGATGTTGTTATTGTCCTCCCAACCTTGTTATACGCCTGCAAAACGTGGACTGTCTACAGATGTCACACTCAAATCCTGGAACAATTCCATCAGCATTGCCTCCAAAAAATCTTGCAAATCTCTTGGAAAGACGGGTGGACAAATGTCAGCATGCTGGAAGAAGCAAACACTACTAGCCTTGAAGCAATGCTCCTACGCTATCAACTCCGCTGGCCATGTTGTCCAAATGCCCAATCACCATCTCCCAAAGCAGTTACTATACTCCCAACTAAGGAACAGGAAATGTAATGTTGGTGGACAGGAAAAGAGTTTTAAAGATGGGCTGAAAGCCAACTTCAAAAACTGTGGCATAGAGACCAAGAACTGGGAAGCCCTGGCCCTTGAGCGCTCTAGCTAGAGGTCAGCTGTGACCAGCAATGCTGCAGAATTTGAAGAGGCACAAATGGAGGGTGAAAGGGAGAAACATGCCAAGAGGAAGGCATGTCAAGCCAACCCTGACCGGGACTGCCTTTCGCTTGGAAACATGTGGATCAAGAATAGCACTCCACAGCCATTCCACACCACGACTCCCATGTTTAAGGAGCTCCCCTAGCTGTTGTTTATTTTCTGGTCCCAATTTAAGGTACAGGTTTTCACCTACAAAGCCTTAGACCGTTTGGGACCCGCCTACCTTCGTGACCGTATCTCTCGCCATGTACCAACCCGGCCCTCCTTTCACCCCTACCAATCTCACAAGCTCGTCTTGTGGGCACAAGGGAGAGAACCTTCTCCTCTGTGGCCCCCCGACTCTGGAACTTATCACCTGAAGAGATCAGGAAAGCCCCTTCACTAGAAACATTCAAAAAGAACCTTAAAACCTGGCTCTTCTGCTACACCTTTGGCGAGTAGGTGTACAACATGATACCATTGCTCCCCTCAACGCTTTTGCCACTGGAGTGCATGCCCTCCAAATGTGAAGTTTAGTTTCACAACTCTGTTTGTTTTTATGAGCTCCCTGCAAATAACCTGCTCCTATTTTTATCTCATTAGAGTCTTTTCATTGTTTTATCCTGTACATGTGGCCAGCCCACTGTTATCGTGACTGTGTTTATTGGAATGATTTTTTTAATGTAATTTTGATGATGTTGTTTGTTGTTTATGTTTTTGGTTTTATTCCGCTGTAATATGTTGTCCGGGCTTGGCCCCATGTAAGCCGCTCCGAGTCCCCACTGGGGAGATGGTGGCAGGGTATAAATAAAGTATATTATTATGAGGCCCTGCTCAGGCTCCCACCTCCATCGCAGGCACGATTGGTGGGGACGAGAGAGGGCCTTCTTGGTGGTGGCCCCATGACTCTGGAACTCGCTTCCCAAGGACATCCGGGATGCCTCAACTCTGGCAATCTTTAGGAGGAGCCTGAAAACGTGGTTGTTCCAGTGTGCCTTTCCAGAATAATTGAAACTCTCAGCAATGTGTCCTCAAAATGCACTTTATTATTGATTTAGGATTGATTTGCATGCCCTATCGCCTCTGAAATTTTTATCCCAGTTATATCCTACCTTGCCCATGCCCAGCATTATCTTTAAAAAAATTAATTTTACATTTGGCCCAGCCATAGGTTTTTAATTGCTTGTTGTGTTACTGTATTGCTTATTTTTATTTCTGTTTATGAGATTTATTTCAACTGTTTGTATTGTTTGTTTGCTATTGCTTTATTATTGATGTATTGTGGGCTTGGCCTCATGTAAGCCGAGTCCCTTGGGGAGATGGTAGTGGGGTATAAATAAAGTTTTATTATTATTATTACTATTACTATTATTATTACGGACTCAKCACCAAGACACTTCACTTGGAGGGCCATCATCCTCGGCCAACGAGGGATCACCTAAGTAGAGACTCGTGCGCCAACTGCGACCGTACCTCGTGAAGGCAGATCTGGCCAGGGTGGTCCATGCCTTAGTCARCTCCAGATTGGACTACTGTAATGCGCTCTACGTGGGGCTGCCCCTGAAAACTGCCCGGAAATTCCAACTGGTCCAACAGGTGGCGGCCAGGTTGTTAACTGGTGCTCCTTACAGGGAGAGGTCAACCCTCCTGTTTAAGGAGCTCCATTGGCTGCCATTCATTTTCTGGTCCCAATTCAAGGTGCAGGTGCTTACCTATAAAGCCCTAAACGGTTTGGGATCCATGAACCCACATGATCTCTCCGATCATCTGGAGAGGCCCTACTCACGATCCCACCTGCGTCGCAAGCGCGATTGGTGGGGACAAGGGACAGGGCCTTCTCCGTGGTGGCCCCCCGACTCTGGAACTCTCTCCCCAAGGACATCAGACAAGCCCCAACATTGGCAGTCTTTAGGAAGAGCTTGAAGACGTGGTTGTTCCAGTGTGCCTTCCCAGAATAGGAAACTCCTAGCATCATGCCCCAAATGCACTTTACTAGAGATTTAAGATTGTCCGCACACCGCACCTATCTCCAAAAACCTATCCATCTCACCTGTCATGCTCAGCATTTTTAAAATTTTAATCATTACATTTGGCCCGGCCTTAGTTTTAAATGCGTCGTGGTGTTATTGTCTAATGTTTATTGCTATTGTTTTAATGTTTATTGCTTGTTTTATGAGTTTATTTATTGTTGTATTTGTTATGCTTTTGTTTTATTGATGTGTTGGGCCTCGGCCCCTTGTAAGCCGCACCGAGTCCTTCGGGAGATGTTAGCGGGGTATAAATAAAGGTTTATTATTATTATTAAGTAAGAAGTTTGTTGTTGTTCATCCGTTCAGTCGTCTCCGACTCTTCGTGACCTCATGGACTAGCCCACGTCAGAGCTCCCTGTCAGCTGTCACCACCCCCAGCTCCTTCAAGGTCAGTCCAGTCACTTCAAGGATGCCATCCATCCATCTTGCCCTTGGCCGGCCCCTCTTCCTTTTGCCTTCCACTTTCCCCAGCATAATTGTCTTCTCTAGGCTTTGCTGTCTCCTCATGATGTGGCCAAAGTACTTCAACTTTGTCTCTAGTATCCTTCCCTCCAGTGAGCAGTCGGGCTTTATTTCCTGGAGGATGGACTGGTTGGATCTTCTCGCAGTCCAAGGCATTCTCAGAACTTTCCTCCAACACCACAGCTCAAAAGCATCTATCTTCCTTTGCTCAGCCTTCCCTAAGGTCCAGCTCTCACATCCGTAGGTTACTACAGGGAATACCATGGCTTTGACTAGGCGGATCTTTGTTGCCAGTGTGATGTCTCTACTCTTTACGAGTAGAAGGTAATCAAAAGCAACCTCAAAGTACTTTTCCTTCCCATCCCTGCAGAGGAGAGTTCTTTTCCTTTCTATCCCTGCGACGAACATAACCTGGCAAGGAGGGGAGGAAGAACAGATTGTACTAAGTCAGATTTTCCTTTTCTGAAAACGAAATGACGTCCCACAGAGTATATATCCCTTCTTTGAATGTGGAACAATCCAAGCCCTTATTCCATTTCCATGCAACCACTATAAATCATGCCTTTACCTACTCAGTGATGCCCTTTCCTTATTTCCAAGCTGCAATCATAATAAATAGTAAAGGTTTTCCCCATGACAAGTTTTTTCCCTTGGAATAAAAACATGACAAAACAAGGAAAGGAAGAAAGAGGGGGGATAATAATTGGAAAGGACTCATTATTCCAACTTCAGGCCTTGGAAGGGTTAACTCCAAGAGAATGGAGAGGGGGAGCCTTTGGGTTGACACTGAAGCAAGAGAGGCGGGTCTTCCCAGCTCAGATTGCATCCCAAACCTCCCCCCTTCCCATACATACAGATACACACCCGCTTTTTCATTCTCCTCCTCCTCTTCTAGGTCCCAGGGGAGGGGAATGTGGGATCGTGAGATCAAAAATAACCCTCTTATGTCAAAGCAGGGGGAAGAAAGTATAAATACCGAGAGCTCAGCAGCCTGCTTTGGTGCTTCCAAGGCTGAGGAAGGAAGGAAGGAAGGAGCTATCCATCCAGTGAGAGCTGCCTGGCATCACAAGCTCTCCAAGCCTCCTGCAGCTCGACACTCTTTTCCAAAGGGACGACTCTCCTTCCTCCTCTTTCTGCTGCTATTTTTTGCATGACACTGTGTTGGAAAGGAGCTTGGGTATCAGAAGATCCACTCTTTTTTGGGGGAGCAGAAAGAGCACTTTGCCTACTTTTTCCCTCCCACACTTGGGCAAATTGCGCCATCCAGCTAGCAACAATCTCACCAATCTCTTTCCCATTTCTCTCTCTATCCATTTCTCTTTCCTATCAGTTTTGATTTAACCCAGAGCCTTCACTGCCCTCTGAGACTGCAGTTTGCAGATTTGCAGTGTGAGTTTGCTTCTCTCTGTCTATCTCTTTCTCTTTCTCCCAACCCAAGCCTTCCTCTGCCTTTCCAGGCTTCCTGCCTCTATGCCCGCTTCTTCTATTCCCTCTTCTTCTGGCAGGCTGGCACCTGCTCTTGTCTCCCCTTGGGTGCTCTTCTGGATGCTCCTGCCCCATGCCCTGGCCTTGTCCATCCCTGGCGGAGACTCCCAGGAGGTGGTGCCAGTCTGGTTGGCAACCCCTATGAGCAGCAGGGAAGGGCAGGTGTCCTTCTCCCTGGCCGCCTTCGGGAGGGAGTTCGTGCTGCACTTGGAGCCCGATGCCAGCTTCTTGGCACCCGGGCTGAAGATCCAACACATTGGAAAGAAGGAGCCCACTGCAGAGTTTCTGGCCGAAGAAGAAGATGCAAGGCTGCAGAGAAGGTGCTTCTATTCAGGGACTGTCAACTCGCAGCCAGACTCCTTGGTGGCCGTCAGCTTGTGCCAAGGCATCCATGGCTCCTTCTTGGTGGATGGAGAGAAGTATGTCATCCAACCTCAAGGTCAAGGGAGCGGAGAGCTCCTGCTGCAGGTCCACCAGCTCCAGAAGCGGGGCTGGGCAAAAGAGGCCCCTGAGGACATCCCAGAAGGGGACACTCAGGCCGGACCGGGCAGCAGTAACAGCAGAGCCAAACGGTTCACCTCTCAGGCTCGCTATGTGGAGACCCTGCTGGTGGCAGACACATCGATGCTCCAGTTCTATGGGGAAGACCTGACGGTAAGGTGCTCTTTTGCTCCCTCTTCTTTCACAAAGCTGGAAACTGGCACAGATGGGCTGGGGCATGCAAGTTGGCTGGGAAAGTCCTTGGCATGGGAACTTCTTGTGGTAGTAACTCTCCTGTGACTGGTAGCGTGCCATGTATAAACTCTTAAGCCAAGAAAGTCCTCCATTCCTGCCTTGCCAGGCTTAACTGTCACTACACAGACTATGAGTTTGAATCTGGAGCCTCCCCACTGTTGTATGGAGCTAATAATCATTCTGATGTGCTTCAAAAGCTTGTTTGGACAATAACTAGGGCAATCCCTAGGAAGTCTTTAGAGCACCATAAAGCCACGGCAAGTTGCCTAATGGTCTCAGGATGCTTCAAACTATAATTTGTCAGTCACTGGCTATCTCAAGGACACAAGGAGTGTGTCCACACTGTAAAATGAATGCAGTTTGCCACTACTTTAACTGCCATGGCTCAATGCTGTGGAATCCTGGGACCTCGTAAAACAACAACTCCCAGGATTTCATATAATTGAGCCATGGCAGTTACGGCAACTGCAAACGTCATTGCTTCTATCTAATGCATGAGTAAGTGAAAATAAAAAGAGAGAAGAAGGCCACAATAGACAGGAGAAGGGAACATGTATCTCCCCTAATGTTAGTACTGTAGTTTCCATTGCTCCTTAATATGGGAGGCCTGATGGAGTTTGCAGTCCTACTAAAACTTGCAGAGTACACTTTACCTATCCCAGATAGATAGCTGCGAGACAACAGGCACCTTCTTGTGGTGTCATTTGCTTCTTTCCTGTGTCTTAGCATAGAGCAAGGAGCCCCTGTGATGCAGTGAATTAAACCCTTGTGCCAGCAGGACTGAAGATTGACAGATCGGAGATTCGAATCCGGGGAGAGCGCAGATGAGCTCCCTCTGTCAACTCTAGCTCGCCATGCAGGGACATGAGAGAAGCCTCCCACAAGGATGGTAAAACATCCAAACATCCGGGTGTCCCCTGGGCAATGTCCTTGCAGACGGCCAATTCTCTCACACCAGAAGCACCTTGCAGTTTCTCAAGTCGCTCCTGACATGGGAAAAAAGTGTAGCGCAGTAGCATGCATTTTTTTTGTCGTATCTGGAGCATCCTGTTGTGAGAGAGTTGGCCGTCTGCAAGGATGTTGCCCAGGGGACGCCCAGATGATTTTGATGTTTTATCATCCTTGTGGGAGGCTTCTCTCATGTCCCCGCATGAGGAGCTGGAGCTGATAGAGGGAGCTCATCCGCCTCTCCCTGGATTCGAACCTGCGACCTGTCGGTCTTCAGTCCTGCCGGCACAGGGCTTTAACCCACTGCACCACCGGGGGCTCAACAGTAGTATGCATTAACAGATGTGGAGCTGCTTCCAGAGACTCGTCTTGTATTGAGGTCCCTCTCCGAAGTGCTGTATGACATCCTATCATTTCTCACACACCGTGATATCATCACATTCTTGATTTTCCCATCTCCACCATCCCCTTCATATCACTGAGCATTGCCCAATAGAATTGGAGAAACCACGCAGTCAGGTGAAGTCATCCAACATTTCTACATGTTACACAGAAGTGCTTGACACCACGAAACCATTTTTGGCAACAGTAACAAGTAATTCCATCTTGTCTGTAAAGCTGTAGCTTTTGAAATTGGGGGATAGATTCAGGATGGAAGGAGGCATCTGCATTCTAACCAACTTGTATAGACATTTTAGTATAGTTTCCACTCTGATGTGCCTGGTAAAGTGTCTTGTAGACACTAAAAGCTGGCTAATTCCACTGCAGTTTGGTTCCGGGACAAACACACATGCCCTGCGGATACCAAAATCCATGGACGCTTAGTCTCATTATATGCAATGGAGTAGTAAATTGGTTTCCCTTCTACAAAATGGTATAATCAAGGTTTGCTTTTGATATATCCCATCCACCCACCCTGCTCCCAAGTCATGGATAGTTGAATCTATAGATACAGAATCTATGGGTGCAGGACGCAAAGGGCTAACTGTATTACCTTTTTGTATACCATAGTACTTCTGCCTGATGTGTGGTAAAGTTAGAGCATTGTCAGGGGTGGCTCAACCCATTACGCAAAGTAAGCATTCGCAGTATAGTTGATTTTGCCCAGGGGCGCTCTTGAGGCGCTCTTGGGGGAAAATAGACCTTGACATATGCGAGTTGTAGTTACTGGGACGTATAGTTCACCTACAATCAAAGAGCATTCTGAACTCCCAATGATGGAATTGAACCAAATATGGCACACAGAACTCCCACAACGAACAGAAAATATATGTCAGTGATTGGTTGGGGGGCGGGGGCACCAAAATACTGTTTGCTTACCATTGAATATTACCTAGGGCCGCCTCTGAGCATTGTTTTGTCAATAAGCATAATTTTCCTGGTCCCCCGAGAGCATATTTTGGTCTGTGTGACGGGGTGTGTGTGTGTGTGTGTGTGAAACCTCTCCTCCCTTGTGCAGTCTTTTTTCCCAATGGAAGAAGAGAACCATTTAAAGCACAAGTTCCATTTGTTTCAGACCATTGGCACAAGGAAATTCATATCTGGCAGTGTGAAAATCTATTTGTTTATTTACCATATTTATACCTCGCCTTTCTCAATACCACAAGGGACTCAAAGTGGCTTACACATATAGGCAGCAATTCGATGCCAGAAACACACATAATTAGAATATATACATTAAAACAATAATTAAAAACATATAAAACCTTCAAACCACTTGTTTAAAATCATGCAATCCAAAATCTAATTCAAATATATAACCTCAAGGAGTTAAAAAGTGCCAAAGGAGAGTCTGTCTACAAGGAAAAACCACTTTTCTACTGTGCTACTATCTTCACAGTGGAGAAATTAAACAGCAATTGTATTAAGAGCATTGCATTAAAAGGAGAATGAAAACAGATGTGCATAGTTCATGCCAGTGGCCTTTGCTAGTGAATGAATGTGTTGTTGCTTTTTGTCTACATCCAGTTAAGAATGTTTTAGGATTGGAGTTATTTTGTCTGGGGAATTAATGCCAAAAGGGCATTGGAACAAATTGGATTTATGGTGAAGAAACTTCTCTTTATGCATACAGTTGATGGAACTGCAGAAATGCTAAACATAGTCATCTGTTCCACTAAGACTCATGGAAGATCTCCATTATTATTATTTCCATGTCAGGAGTGATTTGAGAAACTGCAAGTCGCTTCTGGTGTGAGAGAATTGGCCATCTGCAAAGATGTTGCCCAGGGCAGGCTCAGATGTTTTACCATCCTGTGGGAGGCTTCTCTCATGTCCTCTCATGGGAAGCTGGAGCTGACAGACGGGAGTTCGCCCTGTTTCCTGGATTCGAACCACTGACCTTTTGGTCAGCAGTCCTGCTGGTACCCGTTGCGCCACTGGGGGCTCCATGATGTATTCTGTTCAAATAGAACCAAATGCAGATAGGATGGCTGGACAAATAAAAATTTGAACTTAAGACTGGAGAGAGCAGAAAAGTTTTTGAAATGTGTAGGTGAAACCAGATTAAGACTTTGTGTCCCATACAAACACACATGCATCCACATGTGCCCTTTATCTCACTATTACTCCAAATCAAATAAACTCTGGATTTTCTGAATCCACCCAAAGGACCTCCTAGCAAGGATGAAATTAGGACAAACTTCTGAATACACAACAATTTATTGTATCTTATTTTATTTACGACATTTATATGCCTCCCTTCTCACCCCAAAGGGGACTCAGGGTGGCTAACAAGTAATATGTAAATAGAATATATTATATTATTATCATAGCACAATATTTGAATTATATATTACTATATTGTACTATATCATTATACTGGAATATTATTAGTAATATTACATGCAATATAAAATATATAATTATAATATTGTATTAGTAGTAGTAATATTATATTGTATTAGATGATAATATTATCAATATTACATGTATATTATATTATATTATATGTATATTATATTATATTATATTACTAGCTGTCACCTAACCATCACCAGTCTGGTGATCTGGAAAATAAAGTAATGAGAAAGTGTTTGTTTCTAATATATGTAATTTCTTTATGCTTCTGGATAAACAGTACTTCTTGTTGTTTCTTTGTCAGTGTTGATGTAGAGATTGTCTGGTATGCCTACTCTGGAACATGCAAGATATCATTGTTCTTCTTTGGGAGTCCCTTTCAGATCTATGATACTATATCTGTGTGTGAATCATATCTATCTATATCTATGGCTGGATGGCTCTTTTTCAGGAGGGCTTTGATTATGTTTTCTTGCCCTGGTGAAGGGAGTTGGACTGGATGGCCTTAAGTATTTTCTGTTGGTCATGGGGGCTCTTTAATTGTAGGTGAACTATAAATCCCAGAAACTACAACTCCCAATTGTCAAGATCTATTTCCCCCAAACTCCATCTGTGTTCATATTTGGGAATATTGGGTATTCATGTCAAGTTGGTCCAGATCCATCATTGCTTGAGTCCACAGTGCTCTCTGGATGTAGGGGAACTACAACTCCCAAACTCAAGGTCAATGCCCACCAAACCCTTCTAGTGTTTTCTGTTGGTCATGGGTGTCCTGTATGCCATGTTTAGTTCAATTCCATCATTGGTGGAGTTCAGAATGCTCTTTGATTGTAAGTGAACTATAAATCCCAGCAACTACAACTCCCAAATGACAAAATCAATTTTTTGTGTGATGGTCACTCCTTGGGTTAGTAGGTGTCTTGTGGCCAAATTTGGCAGCAATTCACCCAGTGGTTTCTGAGTTATGTTAATCCCAAAAACGAACATTACATTTTTATTTATATAGATTAGAAATTCCGCTTTTCAAATGATTTCAACTTGGGATGGAAGGAAGCAGGTGCAGGAAGAAGGTTCTATATTATACTTGCTCAAGTTCAATCAATTTCATCCATCTTCTTGCTTTGAAATTGATCTGCTTCAAACATCTGGCTTAATCCTTTAATCTTTATCTT